TATGATGGCAGTAGAAAATCCGATGGTGATACCTCCTTGGGAGAAGGACGAGCACCCGCACATGAAATCCAGAGGCTTTACTCTGGGTCATGTTGACGCTGAACTGCGGAAGAAGATTCACAAGTTGCCATGGGAGTTGGATGACGGAGACAACTCGAATCCCAAGGAGTCTCGCACTTTCGACCTAAAATATGTAAGCAATTCCCTGATATGGGCAACGTCTCCGCAAGAGAAAATATTGCCAAAACATGTCTCGCATCACGGAATGAATGGCTAGGTAGAGTCATTTTCATGCAAACCCGAGTAGAAATAACCTTCTACAATTATCTGTAAGTATATTTGCAGTATCTTACAGGTAACGTGTTCTTAAGTATGGCAGCCAGATAACAAATGGAATGGAAGCCCTTGGAATCGCAAACCTGGAGCCAACAGATCCATGACTCCGCCGCCACCGAGGCCTAAGATTATTCGAGAGGCAATGTCCTGCGCAGCTCCTTTTGCTACAAAAGATAACATGGTCATAGTAAAGGTGACTTGGCCTTTCTGAAACCTAATGCAACGTCACATAAATTTGTGAGTATATTACAAGCATCAACAGCCAGAACCCTGTCATGGTGCAGAAAAGCCCTCTGATCCCGTTCAACAAGTTAGATAAACTGTCATTCAACCAGCAGTCCATTGTGCTCTCACAACCGATCCTAACAAATCTAGTGGTCTATGCAATTGCGCAGTATGGAGAGGGCAAGCCAAGTCTATACAACAACATATTGCGGCGCAGACAGAGAGCCGTAAGCGCCGTGAAAGCTTACTTCATACTTATCACAGTCAACGTCTAGATGGGCGAACCGAGTTGAATGGCGAGACTAATAGTTGTGCTTTCCAATTGCAGGCGAAGCCCTTTGTGGAAACGCACTGTCCATTTGAACGGGATGAGTATGACCCCGCAGGAAAATTACCGAAGGTACGCTAGTAGAGCAAGCCCAATATTCTCGCCACATCTCGATTACATTTCAACACTGTGGTTGAACTGGCTACAAAAGCCACACAGTCTGATGCAATTTATTCCTCGGCTCTTAACACAGTTTCATGTTTGACAATATTCAGAGGCCTAACGTCTTTCCAAGGGATATAAACACGTATAAACCTTGGCCCATTCCTCATGCGGAGGAGAAGAAGTTAATAGATGGTCTACCCCTTCATTGTGATTTGAAGGAAGGTATGCTACCATGCAGTTGATCCAACACTTCTCGGTTACATCGTGAAATAGAGTTAGTTTAAACAATCCGCACCCACAGGAGCATCAGTAGCACAGCAATGCGCAGGACATTGAAACATGAAGATCCAAAATTCTGTACACAATTTCACGTGACTGATGCATTGCTCTACCTTTTGTTGTTGTTGTTGTTGAAGAATGCACTATTGATGGTTCTAATTTCACGGAGGTCTTAGTGTGGACTTGTAGGACATCAAGTGTTACGAAAGGATGTTGAATTCTATCCCGGCGATCCAACTAAGAAACCCGCTGCCGGTGACGTCGAACGGGTGGCCCATCCTCGGAAGCAAATTTCATATCCACGCGACCCTGCAACTCTGAATCCATTCCCCTACGGAACTCTTCGCGGAACTTTTCATTTTGCAGATGAGCCTGCCGACAAGAACCAGAAATATTATGACCAAAAGCAAGGTTTGTGTTCCACTCTCAACCATTTCCAGTGATCAATTTCTTCATAACGGCTAATGCAAAACAACCATCCCAGTAATGCCATCAGATTTCTCAGTCTTTCCTCATCTCAAGAGATTCCAAAAACGTCGTCTCTGCAATCAAACGCCGAGATCCATTGTGCCTCAAGTGGAGAGATTAAGTATCCCGAAGTTGGGGTCATTCATGAAGCTGTCTCGGCACACTAACATGGGTAAAATTGTTTGTTCAACTCTAGGTCATAGAAATGGATGGCAGTTCTATCCAGGCGATCCTTCGAAAATGCCTGCTGCTGGTCAAAAGCCTCCACCCAAATTATTATCTGCGACTTGCGATGTTAATGCTGCCTACTATTTCCACTAAACATGCCATTCATGCACAAAACTAAGTTCTTTTCTAGCATTTGGAACTCAAGTAGTTTTGTCTTGTGGTAAGAACAAGGTGGAAAGTATCACCAGTTTGGGGTCATTACCGCAGACTTTTAACTTCGCTGCGTTTTGTCGTTCTCAGTTCGGCAAATGCTAAGTTTAAAGATGAAAAAGCTACATGCTTTGTTTATCACCGCAACACTTCTGCATCTCGCTATTCGCACGAGAACAGATCAGTTCATTCACTTTTCTTTGTAGTTCATTCAAGTTGATTCCTTGGCTTCAAGCCTTTGATTGCGTTCAGCAGCGAGAGCTTCCTGAGCATCTGAGATTGGATTGCGAGTTGTCATACACCACTTTGTGAAACGACATGAATTTGGGTGGATAAGAAAACAATGATGAAATGAGCAATTGATGGTTTTGGTATGGAAAAGATTTTGTTTCACAATAGAATGTGGTTTAGGTGTTACAAATTCTGAATTTGGAATAAGATTAAAAGTGGCATTTTTATGGGTTTTTGTGCATTAATATAATATTTTGAATTTTTTTTATTTGTTTCTCTTCTAATAAATTATATCCTTTAATGGATTTCATAGTGGCACTGTGTCATTGCTTTCGTTAGATTATCTTTAGATTTGACTATATGGATGAATACCATTTTGAGGGTTATCATCCACAAAGTTAATTCTGAAACAAAAATATTTTTTAGAGATGGAATTCAAATTTGAAAAATAAATATTAGCTAGAGAATACAGTGTAAATGACTCATAAGATTATTGGTAAATCAAAAGTCCATGGATAAATTATTCTTGAATCTAATAAGACAAGGACTTTGTAATTTTTTGGTTCCAAACAAACATCTATTGTAAAGCAAGGTAGCACAAGCATGAATACCTTCCTTCTTCTTTTTTTTTTTTTTTTTTTTTTTTTCTATCTTACAATATAATTCATATGTGCAGATTTGGAGTCTTGTGTTTTTACTTTGGGTAATCATTCTTAAAATAGCAACATTACCTTTTAAACTAGTAAGACAAGTTATAACATCAAAATATGTTGGACTTCTCAATTTATTTTTATTTCAATAAAAATTTGCTACAAGTAATTATCTTCTCTGGCTATAAATTTAAAACAGATTTTCTTTCATCTTGCATTATTATTCTTCTATTTTTAAAAATTAAATATATTTACTAATATTTCTTATTTCAGACCTCAAACAAGACCTTTATATGAATATTTTCACCAATATTAATGCTTATTACCATCAAGAATAATATTTTTTCTATAATGCTTTAAATTAATTGTACACAAATAGTTTATTTGTTCTCACTCTTATATTAACATAACTACAAGTATATTAAACTTCAGGTTTTACAGTAAAAAATATTTTAAAATAGAATAGAAAAAATTTAACAATAATCAAATTGTATAAGAACATATATATATATATATATATTTTTAAATAAATTAAATTATTTAAATATTAAAAAGTTCAAAATCATTCAACAATCATTTAAAATTAGACAATATTTTAGACTTTATATTAATGTAATAATATTATGTTTTATTTCTAAAAAATAAGTAATACACATTTTTTATTTGTAAAATATTATATATTCATACATATAATAGATATTTTATTAATATTACAAGATTATAAACTTTGATAATTATTAACTTTTTAATTGTACATAACCATGCATGCATGTATACAGTAATAAAAAATTTATATTAAAAGGTGCTGTTATATTAATTTTCTAGAATAATTTTTTTATATATTATAATAGTATTAAATTTATAAACTAGGATCTAAATTTTAATTTTAAAAGTATATTTAGACAATTTTTATACTATATTATATTGTATACAGTTTTTGATTTCAAATCTAAAGTTTAAAATAAATATTTTTCAACATTTGTCATGTATAAAATTCAAGTACTTTATAAAAATATTTTTATTATCAAAAATTAATTTATAAAAGTATAATCATTATAGTCAACACTTTTACACATTCTTTGAATTTAAAATAAAATAAAAAATAAATAAATACCTATTACATATCACTCTTTCACAAACAAAAATATATACCAATTTTTGGATACGAACTTCAGTGAAAATTATATTTAATTTTTACCAATAAAGAAAATCATGTAAAAACAAATTTAAAAAGTATTTGAATAAAATTATTTATTTCATAGTTTAAAATAATTTTTATTCTTCAATGACTAAATGAAATTTTCAATAGAAAAAAGATACTTTCAAGTTCAGATATTATATAAAACCAAGAGAAGTAAAAACTTTCAGTATTATATTTAATCTAATTAATAATTATTTAAATTTTTTTTATAATTATTTACACATATTAATTTTTTTTATGAATGATAGTATTATATAATAATTTTTAAAATCTAAAAACATAAAACCTTTTTTTATAAATTTATAATCTAATTCTAAAAACACTATTTGTACAAAAATATTTGGTAGGTTTTTAGATGTTAAAAAATATAACTTTATTAAAATGAATCACATGCATCCAAATAAATATAATTTATATTTAATTTAATTTATATAAATTAAATTAAATTAAATTAAATTTATATAAATTAAATTAAATTAAATTAAATTTATATAAATTAAATTAAATTAAATTAAATTAAATATATCATTTAGTTTAATTTTTCTTGGAATATCATTAAAATTAAATGATATTTTTTAATAAATTTATATATATTAAAAATGTTAATATATGTAAATTAAATTAAATTAAAATATCTTTAAGAAATGGTTCTAAGAAAAATTAAATTAAATTAAAAATGTATAAAATTATATTTTACTAAAATTATTATTAAAAATTTATTAGTTTAATTATTTTATATTATATAAAAAATAAATTCTTCAATCAAAAAATATATTTAAAAGTTTATTTTATCTATAGATATTCTAAAATATTACTAAATTTATAAGAATTATTTAACCAAAAAAAATTATTATTTTTTTTAGACCATATTTTTATGTATAAGTTCTTCATATTATAATTTACATATATTCCATTAAAAAAATAATTTTCTATTATTTTTATGAAAAATTAGTTGTCATTAAAGAATTAAAATAATAATTAAAAAAAGATATTTTAAAAAATTAATATTTAGAATATTTTCAAATACATAGTATTAAATTTATTCTATTAAGATATTTCTAAGATGTGATATTTCTTTATTAAATTGTTTAAATATTTTAAAAAAAATTAAAGATACCTGTATTCAATTTTTAATATCAAAGATTGAAGATATCAATTTTTAATAATTTTCTTAATAATTAATAATTATCTTAATAATAATTATTTTAATAATTAAGCCTTTGATAATCCATACATATATCCAATAAATCGTCTCTTTTTTTCTTTTTTTTTTTCTTTTTTTTTTTTTACAAACAATATTGAAGTTCTTTTTAGATATTTTGAATAGCATATGAGATTCTTAATGGAATTCTTATTAAGATATTCTTCAATTGAAGTCAATTTATTTTGCATAACCTTTTTATTGGTCCAAATAGTAATTGAATCTCTTTTTGAAGATCTATTGAGCAACCATAAGCACAATTCTTTAATTGAATATTTTATTTTCTTTTTTAGATATGTATCAATATTTTTTAAATTGTGTTGGAAGATTGTTTGATGTCTTCCTACCATCAAAAATATGTATTGTATTAATAACAAATAAAAATCCTTCTTTTGTAATCCATATGAATATTATTAATATTAAAAATAAAGATTAGCTTATTCTAAATTTATGAATTATTATTTAATTGAGGATATCCTTAGATATACTATGAAAGAAATCAAGATTATGAAATATCTAATCTTTTTAAGAATTATACTTTTTTAATCACAAGAGATCTCAAAATGACTTGAGTAATATAAGATCTAAGGATACTAAATATTATTAAGCTATTATAACCACTTATTGAAACATCTATAAAAATAATTTTATAAATAACATCTTTAAAAGATAAGTATTTATTATCTATAACTTTTATATGTGTTAGTTTAATTTTCTTTACTAAAAAAATTATAAGATTCTTAGAAAAAAAATTATTTAAAAGAAAAGTTAAGATATTTGAATCTAATAGGACAAAGACTTATCTTGGAGTTAGATGTACAATCCAAAAATTGAACATAAGATATTTTAAGCTATATTCTTAGTAATCTTGAATAATCTAAATATATTTTTAATTTTACTAAATATATATTATCAACCATAAAATCCATTGATTTTTTTGGAAATATTCCTTTCTAATTAATAAAAAATCTCTATATTTTTTGTACATGATTTTGTATTGTATGATCTAATTTGAATCCTAGTTCATAACCAATATTATATTATAATACAACTATTATGTAAAAAAGATAAATAAAAATTATATTATAAATAATATTAATTTAAAAATAGAATAAAAATTTATTTTAAAAAAACAAAAATAAATAATGCAGAGGTATTTAAAATTTTATTATTAATTTCTTAATTTTTTAAAATAATTTCTATTCACTTGTAAAGCCACAAATAAGATAAAACTAGTTATATAATTAAAAATAATATTTTAAGCATATTTAGATACAAGTTAAGAATAACTTTAAAAAAATTACTATTAAAACTCTTAGATTGATATTAAAAGAGGATTGATAGTGAATTAGAGTCAAAACAAGACTTAGAGGTACAAAACCACACACTTGTAAGAATTGTGAATTATTTTTAGTAAGCATAGAGTAGAGTTTGTAGACAACCTTGATAAAATAATCTTTTGAAAATTTATTTGAAATAATATGATTGGATAATAAATTTGTGATTATCTTACAAATTTAGAGTTATTTTAGATGACTTTGAAATTTATGACTATTGTTCTCGTTGTGTTCAAGCTTTAATATACCAAAGCAATTGAATTAATAGAGGTGGGTTCGAACATGGGGAAAGACTAGTTATATGAATTGGGTCTGTTAGTGTCACAATTGACTATACTTTAGCTATCTAAAATCAATTATCAAACTACAAAACACCAAGGCTTATTACTTCTATCTTAGTTCAACACATAATCCATTCTACGACTATCAATTCAACAATACTTCCATATTCTTATCAGTTCATCTCCCACTTACTTTCTTTGTGATTTATATATATTCAATTACTAATCTCCAACTTACTTATTGTATTTAGTTTCTCAATTCATCACACAGAATTCAATATCTTCACTTAACACAATACAATTCGATAATTTCAATTCTCAAGGTTAAAATTTTCTCCAAAATGATCAGTCCAAAATTATATTCCACAATATTCTAATCATAGTTTCAACAATACTTCTCTCAATTACAATTCTTCATAAGCAAATAATAAAAGTAAAGAAAATAAAGAGATAGAACCAAGCTTACCTCGGCTTACAACTCTCACAGTCTAGCTCTGATCTTCCACTTCCCAACCTCTTTATCTTACTAAAAGATGGACCGTCGGCCAACGAATTCCAAAGTTTATGACCCTTTGAATTCTTAACCATTTGTTCCACTAACAACCCACTGTTATCAACTAAACTGCCTAACCATCAGTCTAATTCTCAAGAATATTGTGATTACTTATTTTATTTATTTTAAATTAATCTAATAGAAATAAATTCGTATAGAGAGATTCGAATATGGAGAATGACTAGTTGCTTAAGCGTTCACGTTAGGATCGTACAATCAATTATCTCTTGAATGTATCTTCTCTATTTCTAATATCTGAACACACAAGCAAACTATAATCTCCTCCTTTATCTTATCGGTCTCTTCCTTACAACAATTCAGTCATACCAATAACTGCTATTTCCACCAATATATTCACCCTCATAATCTTCAACTGTAATACTACGCCCTCACAACTTTGAGCACACAATTACCCTCATTCCAATCAGTGGAATTCTTCACACAAAACTGCTATTCACCTTACGGTGTTTCCCACAAACACAGACTCATTCTCTCTACTGAATTATAATCAGATTTCAGTATTCAATCTTTCTTCTTCTCAAATAATACCAATCACATTTCTATTCCATAATTCACTTCACAATATTCAGAAACTCTCAATCCTCTTATTCAAAGAAAATAACAAACAAAAGAAAAGAGGTAGTACCAAGCTTACCCCCGACTCAATACTATCGCAGTTTGGCATCTTAATTAACTTCTACAACTCCTATATACTTTCTCCTGATTCTTCAGATTCTAACCGTAATTCTGTAATTAACTACTTTTAAGAACTAAAATCTATTTAGGTGTTGATTAGCCTCCTACTCCAATCTAAATATTGAACTTCTAGTACTAATATTTTCTTTATGAATCATTGGATTTCTTCCAAAATCTACTTAAACTATTGAAAATAAAGTCTAGTCTGTATATAAAAAAAATCACTTTAATTCAAATGACAGATTGTGAAAGATCTTAAAAAGACTCACTGATTATCAAACTCTAATTTTTGAAACTTCAATCTACAAAAACTTTCACACACTTTGATCTAACCATTTAATTGTTTTCAAAATTTGCACATATATTTACAACTAGCACATTAATACTCTATCCAAAATTTATTCATATACATACTATACAACTTAAGAAACTCTCAAATATGTTGACATAATTATATTTTTCAAAATCTAAATCAACGAAGAACATCACTAATTTTGAAAATCTCTCCAAAACTAAATATAAACTCAATTGATATAAATTCAATCCTTAAAAATCTCTTTATAAGTTTACTCTCAAATCTCACTCTTTGATCTTCCAAAAGAACTTCAAAGTCATTGTAGATGCACAGTTTTGTGTCTTAAGGTATGATTTTGATCCATGTTGACAACGAGTCTTCTCCGGATATCAATTCTTAGCTTCTTGAGGTTAATTTTGCTAAAATCTACTCTTTATTCCTTTCATATGTCTATATCATTTAATTTTTAAATCTACTTTTTTTTTTTTTTTTTTTTTTTTTTTTATGGCCCTAAAGTAAGTAGAAGCCTATTTTACAAAAAGATAGCATTAGCATTTTTTAATTTTACTATCTTTTGACTATTATCTACATTTTTAAGATAATTTGCTTTAATATTTTAAAATAAGATCTTCTATGTTGTAATTTTTTCTTTTCTCTTTCATTTATTAGTTGTGTTATATCAAAAAAATATTTAATATCATAACTTAGGAAGAGACTTTCAATGTTTATTGATTTTATTGGAGGTAGCAACTATTGTTGATGGTGTTACAAATATTTTTTTTGAAGGAAGTTACAAAGGTTTTAACAATGATTAAATAATAAGGAAGTCTTCCTATCGTGGAATGGGATATTATCAATGGCTTAGAGGACCTATTAACTACCTTCAAAGGAAACAAAGATTAGAATATGTGGCAAATACAATTTGCTACAACTTAGTTTCAAGAGTCTCTAGTTTTCTTATCTTTTGGCAATAGCCATTTTAGTTTCCTTTTTAATGTATATACCTCTCTATTTCTATTTTTTGTATTTTTTTGAGAGAAAGCCTCATTTATTTATTTGATTTCATTGAGTTCTTATCTTTGACAGTAAGTGCTTCTTTAGTGGATAATTTTGACATAAGAAATTACTAAAAAAAAAATTTATTATATTGATATATCAATGCATCTTTTATAATTAGTTATGCCAATAATTAATAACCAAACAACCAAATCATTCTTTCACTCTTATAACTATGCTTTGTTAAGCATTATATCTTATAAGTATGTAATTTTCTTATTACCTATGGTAGACTTGTTGATATGGCAAGAAACTAGTACATGTTATAACAAAGTCTAATTATTATGGATTTTTTTTTATTATTATTGTGCCAAAGATTAGAAGAAATCTTTGCTTTTTATATCAATCAATAATTTTGGATACATTACTATAGATATATCTATTATGAATTAGATAAAATTTAAATTTGAATTAAGCTTTATATGATCAATCATTAATCTACAACCTAATCATTAGGCAAATATGAATCTACAGACAGAAGGCCTGGTGGAGAGAGCCTGGAATTCGACCATGGGAGCACGACGAATTGCTCTACCATTCCAGACCTGGGAGAGGTCCTGGGTTGAATCCATGGATCTTGTCCACCTCGGCAAATGCTCCCTTTGCAACATTCGACAATGAACGCTTCCAAAGACAGGTACCTATGTTTGCTCACTCCACCAGATTTTATTGAACTTCGCGTACGAAACCTTTGACTCCCATATTGAATTTGTGTCGCTAAAATTGCTAAGGTTTATGATGGCAGTAGACAAATCCGATGGTGATACCTCCTTGGGAGAAGGACGAGCACCCGCACATGAAATCCAGAGGCTTTACTCTGGGTCATGTTGACGCTGAACTGCGGAAGAAGATTCACAAGTTGCCATGGGAGTTGGATGACGGAGACAACTCGAATCCCAAGGAGTCTCGCACTTTCGACCTAAAATATGTAAGCAATTCCCTGATATGGGCAACGTCTCCGCAAGAGAAAATATTGCCAAAACATGTCTCGCATCACGGAATGAATGGCTAGGTAGAGTCATTTTCATGCAAACCCGAGTAGAAATAACCTTCTACAATTATCTGTAAGTATATTTGCAGTATCTTACAGGTAACGTGTTCTTAAGTATGGCAGCCAGATAACAAATGGAATGGAAGCCCTTGGAATCGCAAACCTGGAGCCAACAGATCCATGACTCCGCCGCCACCGAGGCCTAAGATTATTCGAGAGGCAATGTCCTGCGCAGCTCCTTTTGCTACAAAAGATAACATGGTCATAGTAAAGGTGACTTGGCCTTTCTGAAACCTAATGCAACGTCACATAAATTTGTGAGTATATTACAAGCATCAACAGCCAGAACCCTGTCATGGTGCAGAAAAGCCCTCTGATCCCGTTCAACAAGTTAGATAAACTGTCATTCAACCAGCAGTCCATTGTGCTCTCACAACCGATCCTAACAAATCTAGTGGTCTATGCAATTGCGCAGTATGGAGAGGGCAAGCCAAGTCTATACAACAACATATTGCGGCGCAGACAGAGAGCCGTAAGCGCCGTGAAAGCTTACTTCATACTTATCACAGTCAACGTCTAGATGGGCGAACCGAGTTGAATGGCGAGACTAATAGTTGTGCTTTCCAATTGCAGGCGAAGCCCTTTGTGGAAACGCACTGTCCATTTGAACGGGATGAGTATGACCCCGCAGGAAAATTACCGAAGGTACGCTAGTAGAGCAAGCCCAATATTCTCGCCACATCTCGATTACATTTCAACACTGTGGTTGAACTGGCTACAAAAGCCACACAGTCTGATGCAATTTATTCCTCGGCTCTTAACACAGTTTCATGTTTTGACAATATTCAGAGGCCTAACGTCTTTCCAAGGGATATAAACACGTATAAACCTTGGCCCATTCCTCATGCGGAGGAGAAGAAGTTAATAGATGGTCTACCCCTTCATTGTGATTTGAAGGAAGGTATGCTACCATGCAGTTGATCTTTGCTATTTGAATTTGAATTTTTCTTCCTTTGATTTTATTTGGATCTACAATTATTTTTTGTCGTTTCTGTAGGAGATTTCTTATGCATAATCGCTCTTGTCTTTCTTTTGCTTATCGATTAATTCTTTGATAATCCTTCCTTTCATGATTATCACTCATAATCTTTCATTCTTCCTATACAATGAATTTCTAAAATTTCATATTGTTATCATTTCTCCGACAATGGTGCCAAAATGTTGTTCTCATTGTGCTCAAGCTTTAATATACCAAAGTAATTGAACTAATAGAGGTGGATTTGAACACGAAAAAAGACTGGTTATATGAATTGGATCTGTTAGTATCACAATTGTCTATACTTTAGCTATCTAAAATCAATTATCAAACTACAAAACACCAAGGCTTATTACTTCTATCTTAGTTCAACACATAATCCATTCTACGACTATCAATTCAACAATACTTCCATATTCTTATCAGTTCATCTCCCACTTACTTTCTTTGTGATTTATATATATTCAATTACTAATCTCCAACTTACTTATTGTATTTAGTTTCTCAATTCATCACACAGAATTCAATATCTTCACTTAACACAATACAATTCGATAATTTCAATTCTCAAGGTTAAAATTTTCTCCAAAATGATCAGTCCAAAGTCATATTCCATAATATTCTAATCATAGTTTCAACAATACTTCTCTCAATTATAATTCTTCATAAGCAAATAATAAAAGCAAAAAAAATAAAGAGATAGAACCAAGCTTACCTCGGCTTACAACTCTCACAGTCTAGCTCTGATCTTCCACTTCCCAACCTCTTTATCTTACTAAAAGATGGACCGTCGGCCAACGAATTCCAAAGTTTATGACCCTTTGAATTCTTAACCATTTGTTCCACTAACAACCCACTGTTATCAACTAAACTGCCTAACCATCAGTCTAATTCTCAAGAATATTGTGATTACTTATTTTATTTATTTTAAATTAATCTAATAGAAATAAATTCGTATAGAGAGATTCGAATATGGAGAATGACTAGTTGCTTAAGCGTTCACGTTAGGATCGTACAATCAATTATCTCTTGAATGTATCTTCTCTATTTCTAATATCTGAACACACAAGCAAACTATAATCTCCTCCTTTATCTTATCGGTCTCTTCCTTACAACAATTCAGTCATACCAATAACTGCTATTTCCACCAATATATTCACCCTCATAATCTTCAACTGTAATACTACGCCCTCACAACTTTGAGCACACAATTACCCTCATTCCAATCAGTGGAATTCTTCACACAAAACTGCTATTCACCTTACGGTGTTTCCCACAAACACAGACTCATTCTCTCTACTGAATTATAATCAGATTTCAGTATTCAATCTTTCTTCTTCTCAAATAATACCAATCACATTTCTATTCCATAATTCACTTCACAATATTCAGAAACTCTCAATCCTCTTATTCAAAGAAAATAACAAACAAAAGAAAAGAGGTAGTACCAAGCTTACCCCCGACTCAATACTATCGCAGTTTGGCATCTTAATTAACTTCTACAACTCCTATATACTTTCTCCTGATTCTTCAGATTCTAACCGTAATTCTGTAATTAACTACTTTTAAGAACTAAATCACTCATCCGTCCTCCTGAATTTTCTATTATATGGATTATTAATATATTTTATCAATATCTTTCAAAAACGAATTAATATCTTTTCTACATAGCCCCACTCCTATCTGTGCAGCGTCTTTACAAACACTCAATTGATACCTATCTAAAAATTATCTAACAAATCTCCACAAAGTTACTAGTTCCTCTCGTCCACCTAATTAATCATTTGTTTCATTATCAAATGTAGGTTCGACCAAATCTAGTTTCAATTACAAATCTTCTTCTTCTTCCTCCAGTCCATCGACTCTTTCCTCAATTGGTTTGATAGAACTTCATTATATTCACCCAGTACATGGAATTGAGCCTCCGATTTCAAGATCTGGCCATCTCTTAATTCCAACTGGCAATGAAAGTGACTCCTCTCTTTTGGAACTTCTTCAATCGACACTTGTGACCTGTTTCTCACTATTAACTCTTAACTGAAACTACCACTCTCAAAAATACAAGAAATACAAGAAAATGGCACTCTAACCAACCCAAAATAATACCACAGAATGACTTTAACTGGTGCCCCACTCCTATTCTTTTACTACCTGGTAATAATGACAACATATTACCCATACTATCTGTAAAAGGTAATGGAAAGTAATCTTTCTTGGTGGCTGCATTAAGTTTCCAAAAATCTTGACAAATTCGGATTTTCCCATACTTCTTTGCGACCATCATGATTGAAGAAACCCACTCATTATTTGGTACGGGATAAATAAAACCAACCGCAAGAAGCTTGTCTAATTCCTTCTTCACCATGAAGGAATATTTAGAATTAAGGCGATGTTGCCTCTGCCGAACTAGCATAACACCCTCTTCCAAAATAATCTGGTGCTCACACACATCGGTTGGAATCCCTTTCAAATTTGCATACGATCACACAAAGGTAGATTTGTGATGGATAAAAAACTGTTTCCAAGCATCTAATTCTGTACCGATAATACCGACATATATTTTAATTAGCTAAGGCATTTCGTTGGTGCCCAGGTTAATAGATTGACACACAAGGTCTTCAACAACCTCTAATTTAATTATCTTCTCCTGATCTGAATATCTTGTATTATTGGACATATGGGAACCACCCAAATTTGGTTCCAATGTACTGACTCTATTGATTGTGGGATTGTTCATCTATTTGACAATAGCATGATCCGAGTTAGTCACATCCTCCTGATGCAGTAAATATTTGTCGAGACTTCCACATTGGTAGACTCCTGCCTTTGCTCTTGAAGTGTTTTGTCCTACCTCAAATTACGGTGAACCTATAGCATCATTATCTGCCTCAATCGATTGACTCTCATTGTCTGATGTAAATTCTGATTCTGGTAATTGAGATTCTCCATGATATTATATTGGGCACATCTGTAAAATAATCTGGTCACGGCCTTTTCCAATTGTTAATGTGCCTTGGTCCCAATCGTTTTTAGCTTTGGCTTGATAAAGCTAAGGTCTGCCGAATAAAATGGGATACGATAATGTAGAACTCTGTAATCGGAATACAATATAATTGATTTTGTATGTCAATCCTGTGATTACAATGGCAATATTGTGTAAGATTTCCATTGACTTTACCCAACTATGATCTGCCATTCGCAAGACCAATGTCGTAGGTAGCAATTGCTTTACATCCAACTACTCCATTATATTCACGTTCATTAAATTCACACTGAAGCCATGATCGACTTGTACCCCTAGAATTAAAATGCCATCGATTGATACATCAATTGTTGGTGCTCCCAGATCTGGGTTTAAGCTAATTTCATGAATTTCTTTAGTACGAGTTCTTCATCGTATTAACACTGAATTCAATGTAGATTGATATTTTGGTACTACAGCCAAAAGTTTCTTCATTGTAATTGAAGGCTGAATAACATCCAAATCCTTCAGAATGTCATAGGATTCCATATTGAGAGTAATTTCCAATGCTCTTTTGCGTTTCATTGATTTTAATTTTACTCCATTTGGCAACAATTCCTTCTTGGTGATTGAGATTGCCGCTTGTAACTTTGCCAACTTTTCTACCACTAAAGGTTCTTTTAATGCGTAAGATTTTTTATTGGACTACATAGGTATTGGTAGTTGGTCAGTTGGAATCGATCTTGATGGTCCCGACAAATTGGCACGTAGAACCAAATTAGGTTCCTCAATTTGTTGAAGTCTCAATATTGAGATACGTCCCAATACTGATATTGGTTCGTTTAGTCTCATAGACAGTGCTACTTGCTCTCCTGCCATTAATTCATCTAGGTCCTGAATTAGATTCTTATCTTTTTATTGGCCTTTGGTAAGCACTGCGGTCACCACCTCGACACAATGTAATGGTGAGTCTCGTTGAACAGGGCTATTGTCCTCCGTCAGTTGGCTTGTTTATATTTGCTAGTCCCGATTATTATAATTAAAGGGCGCATTGCACTACTGATATGTGTGACCAGACTGCTTATAATTTCCACATATTGGAGCATAGTCATCACTGGTCCTTGAATTAGAACATTCACTCGTATAATGTCCAATTTGTCTGCAACAATAGCAACTAAATGGTCTGTTGCCAATTCCTTCAGGGATAATGGGTGTCTCTATTGGTATATAATGGCTAGGTCTATTCCATGTCGGATGAGTAAAGGATCTTGGTTGATCTATTGTAATTGTAGAGTTTGGCATTGGCTTCGTCATGGGTAGATATTGATGGTATCCTGGTTGGTTCATTGCCAATTCGTGAGTATTCAATACACCTTCTTGGTAAAATTTAGAGTTTAAAAAATTAGAATAATTCTTATTTTTTTTATTTGTTAGATTTCCATTCCAACCAAATCTATTATTTGTTTGTACTTGATTGACATCTCACAAAGTTGGTTGAGTCATTATCTAGTTATTGATTTATTGTTGCTTCCATAAATTCCAACAGTCGGTGGTAATATGCTTGCCCTCGCAAAAGGTACATTGTACAGTCATTTGGGGTGCTGAAGGACATTCTGTTACTAAATGACCTTGCCCCTTATAATTGTTGCATCAGACATTGGGACGCATTTTGGTTGGTTTATGCCTTTTTTCTTTATCCTTGGCTAGATTCACAACCAATTCATCTATTTTTTTTGTCAATGTTAACAGTAATGACTCATTGGGATCCCTTGATACCAATACATTTGGTAATTCCTTTGTAGGTATTGGTTTTTGATATGTGAAATAAGGTGCATACGATTTTTTTGATGATGGTGGTATAACTTACAATAGAACGACATCCACTATTCTCTGTGGAATTGTACCATAATCATTCCTTCTCAGATAACTTCTCGATGCGTCATTCCAATTTTTCATTTGATAACCTCCTTGAGATAGAATCAT